TTCAATCCAACGAGTATTCGTTGTTTCGTCGGTAGGAAGAAAGCAGAAGCGGTAAGAGAGGCGTGAAACGTTTTGTAGAATTCTCGAGACGTTGCCGGCAGATCCGAGGGGTTGCCTCGGGAGCGGATGAAGGAGGTGCGAGAGAGAGAGAGAGAGCGACGGCGGAATACGCCGTTCCCAGCGGAACGGCGAAAACAGAAAAACGGAGGCAGTCGAAGGAAAAGAGGCGGAAAAGGGGTTTGCGCGCGAAAGGTGGAGGAGAATACGCGCGCGGGGAGGAGAGGAGGTATCGACGGAGGTAGCTCGGCGCCGCGTTTGGTTCTTGAAGCATGTGTGCCCCATAAATAACATGTAAATATTTTCAATAACTGCCGGGGCGGCCCCGGCATGAAAAATGCAAACCGCTTTGCGTCCGGCCCTCGGCGCGTTGCATTCCCTCGTATCGTCGTATCGCTCATCCCTTGTTCGTGGATCGGTCGGCGGCATCCACCCCCTTAGCTCACGGCGTCGAACTGTCTTTTAATATATCCGTGTGTACACGATGTCCCGCGTGAAATTTATGACGCTGCGGGCCGCGCCGGGCCCGATATTCGTTTCGCTTTAATCATTCAGCTTCCAATGTCGCCGGCGGCTCCGAATTTGCATAGGTTTCTGAAAAATTATTAGCGACCATGCTTTGCGTACCTGATCACTTTCGCGTGTAAGAAACATTGTTATGAAAATATTATCATTTTGTGCATTTCAAAAATTCTTTGTCTGCTCTCTTATTAATCATGTATGCGCCGAGTAACTTTTTTTTAATATTGATTTATCATTGTTTTTATAAGTAGGATATGTTTGCCATAAAGATGTGCTTCTAATATTAAAATGATCTAACAGTTGTAATGCATAAGCTCGCGATAAATGTAAGTGATACAGTATCCTGCGAGGTATTTCAGTTTCTTTCAGAAATAATCGTTTTGTAGCTTTTCATATTTTAATTCAAGCAAAATGGAAGGGCGGCATTAATCAATTATGCTAATGAGTACTTTTAATCGTGGAAATAAAAGAAACGGAAATTACCTTATTCACAAAATTACTACGGAAATGTTATGCTCCCAACCAGTTTTCCTTTTACGATCGTGTGCGCTTTGATGTATGTGCTACATCAAGATATGTATCTCGCAACGCATGCCATTGCACTATGCAACTTCTACGTTCGTACGATGAAAATAATATTACTATCAGCAAGTACTTGCTTCATTAGCGTCCCGAACAGCAAGCATATATTCATATTAAACGTTCTCTTTTTGTTTGTTCGCAGGGGCTTTGGATTCATCACATTCGCAGATCCTGCAAGCGTAGACAAAGTGCTGGCGCAGGGCAATCACGAGCTGGACGGCAAGAAAGTGAGTAATTTTACCAGCATTGTACCAGATTAATTCTAACCTAAGTTAGAGTTTCTGACTTTTCTATTAACCTTTTAAGCGCGACAAAACTCGAGTCCGTGGAATTATGTAACAATATTCCGGTATAGCATTTGTTTGATTTAAAGATTGTTGAAAATTTATGAATGTAAAATTAATTATGAAATTTTATTTCCTTTCAAACTTCTCTCATTACGTTAAATAAAGCGCAATAATTTCATTAGCAGCAAATAAAATATATTTTTGCTTTTTCCAACAAATCGCGCATATGTCGCGGAATATTTATATTTGCGACACAATTTCTTACGCGCTGTATTTGTACATGTGTGCGTGCGCGCATATGAAATACCGACTCTAGAACTCTCACCGATCATTGGCGTTGAAAGGTTTCGGCGATGTGTCGAGAATCTTTATTTGCGGACGTTTTACAGAGTGCATGCTATCTCTCGTGGAATTCTTGACGACTAGGCACAATATTTACTGCGAAAGATGCAGAAATCGGTGTTCTGTGGAAAAGAGTAGTTTTAAAAAAGGATACAAATTGCCGTGATCGAATATGCATCACGGGAGCAATTAATTTTCACGTCCGATCGGAGCTGCCGTTTCGAGATAATTGAAAGAGCATGCCGCGAGTCGATTGATCGAACCGATTGGTAACTGCAGTCCATAGGTATATATCCCGGTTCGGGACGCATTCCCGCCATCGATTCCGGGGGCAAAATTTTATTCGCGTTTGAAACTTCATTAATTTAGCGTCAAACGTTGTTTCGTTTCGCTCGTTATAGTTTAGGCGAATCATTCATCACTTGTATTTCGCAATTGAAGAGATAGTTTTCGGTTATCAATAAAATATCATCTTTATTGAGGCTTCTAAAAAAGAGAAGCTATTCACAGAAATTAATATACATTTTTGTTTAAATAATAGACACTCGCTTATATATTTTCTTAAAAATAGTAAAATTATTGGGTGTCATGTTTGTCATAATTTGTGAAATTCAATTTATATTGGAATTATAAATTCTCGTTGCACTAAAATCTGTTTTGAATTAATTAAAAATATTTTGTTATTTGTTTACAATCCTGATATTATATTTTTTAAACTAAATACCTGAATCAAGCAACAAGCAAAATATTAATATTTTTACGTTTATCATTATAATCTGATAAATTTTGGAACTGCACGTGAAATATTTTGTTACATGGTGTGTTTTAAACAAATCTTGGTTTGATAAACATATAATTTCTGGATGTTATAAAAAAATGTGATTTTATTTTGATAAATTGTGATTTAAAATTATTTAAATCATCATTAACATGCATAAATTGAATTTAATATTAGGATTAGATTTTTTGTGAGTGAAACGATAAATATAAATTAAAAACAATTGAGTGATAATTTCAACTTTGAAATTCTCGCGTTTTAAAAGTGGAAATTAAGGCGATAATCTCTAAAATTCCTGCTGATTAAATTTCTATGTATGAAAAATTTCCTTTTAATTCAAAGAATATCTCTCTCCATCGATTCCCGCCTCTTCTCGAGGAGGGGCTCACGTACGCAGCGGCATCGCGCGGAACGATGTCGACAGCGTTGGCGATTAATCGTCAAGCCGACGTAGTCGCTTGGTAAACGCGCCTCTTCCGCGGCGGGCAAGACAATGCTCGTGGAATAATATCGTAAGACGGCAAGCGGGTTGTATGGCGAGGGAAATAGTTGCGGACATTAGCTGTCCACGGCGCCATAAGTAGAGCGACTCCAGCGCCAGGGCGGGCCGCCTAAGTGGCCCCGAATACGCTTAAGCGAGGGCAGCCCCGGCCATATCCCCGGCTCGCATAAATTTCGCGTAATTCGCTCCGGCTAATGCAAATTGCGAATGCACGGATCCGGAAGCTAACACCTTCCCGATAGCGGGAAGAGAATATCGCGCGTATAGGGCAACCGCCGGCGCATCCTATTAAGGCTTCCTCTTAAGGGATGAGACGTCCTCACCCTCTAGCACTTTGTCTACCTCTCTCCCTCTGTCTTTCTTTCTCCCTTCTCTCTCTTTCTCTCTTGCTGTTGCCGGGGAAAAAGGGAGAAGCGAGGACATACAAGGAATGCAAACGCACGGAAGCACCCGTTGCTTTGATTCGCTGACAAGTTTCGCCGCATTAATTAGCGCGACCTTCGTCCCCGCTCGTGTTAACGAACGCAGGGATTCTTAACTCACGCTAACACGCAAACATAAATAAAATAGGACGAGAGCGAAATATGTAGTATTCTACCGACATGTGTAGTTGTCATGAAGATACATTTTCTCTCACTTTGTTCCGTATGCGGTATGAAATTTCTCTTAAATCGCGTAGAAATATTACGTGAAATCTAATCGAGCTATGTATTGTTGTAACGTCTATAAAGTGAATATTATAACAATACATTTCATTTAATTGATTAGAGAGGATACAATTACATAATTTTAATTACATCAATGCCGGATTTGTAAAGGATATACTTGTGCAAGATAAAAATCTTTTTAAAACTATACTTTTCATTAACAGCATATATAATTGAAAGTGTAAAACACTATTTTTTTTGTGAAATAAGCGACGAGAAATGTTTTTTGTAAATGTTAACACACCAATTTGATGATATAATATTATTGAAAATCACAACGCACGGAATAGCTCACGCGAGAGCGATTTTGCGGGTCGATACGCCAGACATTTCTCTCCATCTGGCATGGACAATGATTTCGCAACGTGCCGCGTAAGCACCCACTGTGGCACAATGCTGACCGATGATCAGAATAGCCAGCAGATTCCGCTTAATCGGGCCGGATGATGATTAAAAAATCGGTGCCGGCCGAACGTGCACGCGTCCTCGTTTGCGTCCCGTTTGATCTCGACAGGCGTAGCGGAAGTAGCCAAATCGGCCGTACTCGTGCGTGTTTCGTCCATAATGCCGGCGCTCGTAATACAGGGTCCCAAAGCTATTCTCTATTCTGTCGCAGAAATTTTGCAGCGAAAGTGTGCACTGAATTACAAATTAGAGCACAAGCTTAGAAGAATAATACCGTATAGCTAGAGTAATGGTTTTGTGTTAGAAGCAATTGAATTTATTAAAAGTTTTTGGCGAATTAAAGTTAAAAAATTTACGCGAAATATTTTATTTGTCCGATGTATTTTAAATAAATCTTTTTGATCAATTTACAATTTTTCGGTATCATATCAGAGAGAGAGATCAGAGAGAGAGAGAGAGAGAGAGAGTTTTGTAGATAAAATCTATAGAAATGGTTTCAATATTGAAAAATTTTTGTGTTAATATTTAAAAAGTTAATTTGCGCTAAGATATAAATTTTAATTATTGTAGGACATGCTATATAGCGATTTGAAATGATACGGAAGGTAAGAACAGATGCGGGTGATGAGGTAAGAAGAAAGTCGTGAGAGGGAAGAAACCTCTAAAGATAGATGCACACGAAATTGTGAAAGCTCTTTAGAACTCTGCATGGCCCGCATTCCTCGAGACGTCTCTCGACGCTTTAGAAACGTATCGTACGGGAGCACGTGGTGAACGAATCTGTACTTTTCTCCATTCTCCGACTTTTCTCCCTTTTTAAAGGAGAACGGACTTTAACCCTTTTGAGAAAGCACCGGTTTTACTAAAAAGGACATTATAGATGTAGAGTATACTATAAGAGACAGAGTCGTTCATTCTCTCAACGGTAGTTTCTCTAACGAATATGGAATTAATTTTTCCTCTGGTTCGACACTATTTCTTTTTTTAACATTAATAATCGTAATTATTAATGCTCTGAGATGAATCCCCGCAAGTGCAAAATTATAAGAATGATAGAATTGAATAGATAAAACATAAAAAACAGGAAAAGATATAAAAGTAATACATGCACAATATAAGGTTATGAAAAGTATCATAAATCATATTTTTCCGTTTATGTAATATAAGAAAATAAATTGGTAAATTATCTCGAAATTAGTTTAATAATAGATAATTAATTACCTCCAAGTTGTTCCGCCGGCACCCGATGCTCTTCCCGAGATCTTCCTCCATATGGAACACGATTCACTCGCGAAAACCCGATTAATTATCATCGTGCGACATTTTATACGGCACTCCAGACGCGTACTTTGTCATATTAGGACAAAGATAATACTCGGATATTATCGCACGGCGCTAAAATACGTTCGACATTCTGCAGAAGGAAAGAAAGGAGATCGACATGATTAGTAATTAATTTTTGTATACTAGTTGTCGCGGCTAAGCTACGCTTAAACTACTTCAATGTTTTCTCTTGGGAATCCGATTGTTTTGCGACATTTGTTTTTTGTCTCACTACTTTCTCTTCTATCGTTTTCCGCAGAGTGTCAAACGTGTTCTAGTTTCGTGCGATGGTATCCGAGTATTATCTTTGTCTTAATATGACAAAGGACGTGTCGGGAATGTCGTATAAAATATCGCGCGATTATAATTAATCGGGTTTTCGCGAGTGAATTAGATTCTCATTCCAAGAAGAGAAGAAAGCGACTCAGAAAGAAGGGCATTGGGCGTTAGCGGAACAACTTTGAGATAATTATTTATCTATTATTAAAAATTAATTATAAAATAGTTGTTCAATTTATTACTTTTTTTATTACTTTTTTTATTACTTTAAATTACATCGCTGGAAAAAAGTATGCTTCTTGTGACTATTGTATTATTTTGATAATATTATATTATTTTGATATTTTATCCTGTATATTTTATCTGTTTTAACATTTTTATAACTTTTCGCTTACGGGGATTTGTCTCATAGCATTAATAATTACGATAATTAATTATTGTAATACATTTTATATCAATTTATATTAATTTTGAGAAAATATTACAGTTTAAAGCGAAAGAAAAACAAAATCAGATTTTTTTTTTGAGCGAAGTTATCGGAGATATTCTCTTGCGGGATTGCGTATTAAAATATATATGTTTCGTCGGGAATTAACTAAAACGATGAGTCGATATAATGCTGAAACACGGTTTTCCAATACTTCTGTGAATGCAATTTTCCATACTTAGGCAAATTGAAATTCTTGCAAACCTTAATTTCAATGTTGCAATGTAATTAAACGATCTCTATAAAAACGGCATTAGGATTTGATATTTTTCACAATGTCAATGATATTTTTCAATATCAATGATATTTTTATAACGACAAAGATTGAATAGGCGTAATAAAATCAGTTTTTTCTTGTGATTAAAAATTACTTTTCTTAATAATTATCTATAAAACATTCATACAAGTGTCAACAGTGTGTTTTCTACGTGTGTGCTCCATTTTACGTATTTCAATTTGCTTTATATAAAGTATTATTGTATCAAAAACGCGCATTTTATTATGAATTAGTTATTTTGAAAATCCACAGTTTAGAAAAATATCATAAATAATCATAAGATATGGATATAATATCGGCAAGCTATATTACAAATTAGGTTTAAATTATTTTTGAAATAAATCATTTCTATATAATTTCTAATTTAGATCAGTTTCGTTTTAATACTGTTGTACGCCTAAACGCGGTATCTTTTCCCCAAAGGTATAATAAAACTTGCTTTCTATTTCTCTCTTCTTATTCCCTCCCTCCGTCTCTCTCTCTCTTAAGCCTTTTTAAATTTTTTCTTTCTCGATCGATGCTTCTTAAACGCCTTGCGTGCGCTTCAAGCGGCGGCTCGGAAAACGCTGAAAAATAAGCAGCGTCGCTCATCCGCGGAATAATTTATTTGGAGAGCCCGAAGCCACTAAGCCCTGCGGAAATTGTCTGCAGTCCCTCACAAAACTCCGAGCCATCCCTCCTCGTTCTCAACCACCGTTCCCTTCGGCCGATTCTTTTCACTTCCGTACACTTTCTTTACCTCTCGCTCCTTTCTCTCTCTTTTCCTCGAGTGAGTCAACAATACGAGAAGCGTCCATTGTCGAATGCTTTTAAATTTGAAATACAAACCGTCTACCTCTTCGCCTCTTATCTCGTCTATCCCGCCCCTCTTCCAACCTATCAACGTCATCGTACATGTGCCGTTTGAAAGTATTCCTCACCCGCGTTTTTCCCTACATCATCCTTTGCGTTCGCAGCTCTTCGATTTGATCTACTTCTCAAAAGAAGTGTGAATCCAAAGGCAATTGTCGCAAGAACAGTTGACATTTCAAGAATGTATATATCTTTTGAGTTGAACTACCATATCTTTTTCTTTGGATATTTCTTTTCTCTCTCTCTCTTTCTCTCTCTAGCTCTTCTCAATACTTTACATTTGCCTAATTATGTGATAGTGTGGGGAGATAAAAAGTATTTAAAAAAATAAATTATGATATTGACAAATATTTTCATAGCAACAAATCGATAATATCGATAATATGATTTTTTTAAATACAATTTTTATGATTGAAATAGATTTACAGACTCAAAATTTCTGACAGAAATGATTCAAATACAAATTTTGTTGTCCAATATGCTGCTTTTCTTAAACACTTTTTATTTAGCATTAAACAAACTCTTTATATTAATTCCAACGCGTGAGAAAGACTTGCAGCTGCAGGAGATTGCAATGTTAGAATTATACGGGTTATTAGGATTTCTCTTGAGACTGTTGATTCGCGTCTCCTAAGAAGACCTGGGATTTCTTGGGAAAACACAAACGTAATTAGAAGGCACGGAGGCGGAAGGAGAATTAGTCACTTTGTAATCGTAATTCGGGAAAGTTTATGGCCCGCGGTTTATGAAGACGCATCCCGTCGAGTCGCCGGGAAAGTTCTGGTTATCGCGCCAACGAATTAAACCGATACAGCGGGTTGCGGCATCTGTTACTAACGGCTTAACTCACTCGCCCTTTGCGCCGGATATACGGGAGTACAGCCGGCATGAATATAAGTCGAAACTGGGGCACCTACATCAGACAGTTACGGAAGGAGTGGGAAATAAAAAAAAATCCCATATATCACGGGCAGAAATCAAGAAGCGGGATAGTGAATTCATGTAGTTGAACTATCCTACGAAAAGAGCTGGGAGATTGCAGAAATAAAAGATATCCCCTTACATAATTTATTATAACAATTCTTATTTTCCATTGTCTGCGCGAAATTTATAAGCATGTACAAATGCGATTGTAAATTTTTTTTAACTAGCGACATTTAATTAATATAATTTTAATGCAAAGTAGATGATCGTCGATCAAATTACTAAGATAGCGCAAAGCTACGTTCACCGTGCAACTCGCATAACAATAATGTTTTAACTCCTGAACATGACGATAGGTTTTTATCAATCGATCAGTTGTCACACCTTAGTGTTTCACGTTCTTAAGGGAGCCTTAGGGAGACTTTCGAAGGTCTCTCTTTTTACACCGACGCAAACATAAAATCGAGAAACTTACCCTTGCGGCTTTCGATGCCTCGCCCTTTGATTTCCGGCTTCGGCTAAATGCGATCTCGTTAATGGCGCATAACTTTTCGTTTAATCTGAAAAGAAGAAAACAAGAGAAATTACAAAAATGATAAAAAACAATTATTTATATTGATTGATACTATTAATATTGTTTATAATTTTTATAGACATATCGTCTAGCTTTATCTCACGCAAAGTTAGCGAATTTATATGACGTACACGTTCACAGCCTTAACGAGCTTGAAAATTACCAATGTAAAAAAGAGGTGCACTATATCTTTTGTTAGCAACAAGCATTTTATACTACAACCGTATATGTCATGTTTATTGAGTACAGCATTCAACTAGAAGCTAGTTATCAAATTTGTATGTGACGCGAACAGAATGTTTATTACGTTTTCTGTATAAAAAAAAAGGTTTTGATTTGATATATCAATTTTCTACGAAAATAAAAATAGACAGAAGCTTTGCAATTTAGCGTTTCACTAGATATACATCGTTTATTTATTTCTAATTGTTCGTCAACAAATTTCGCGCATGTACACCTTCGGTGATTCAATTGATTTAAATTTGTCTGATCTCTCTTACTGATCTTTTCATAAATTCATGCTAATGGCGCTGAAGCTGACAACCTATCAATTTTTGATAGCTTGTTATGATTTACAAGCATCAGCGTTAACAGACGTCAATGAGGCAAGAAAAATTGCATTCAAGAGACCGTTAAAGATTCAACGGATGTTATCTGTCTCGTTGGTGAAGATTGATGGATCGTCAATGTCTTTTAACGAGAATTTGAGGGAGTTGATGAGCGAAAAGTTAAATGCTTGTTTCATCGAATTTGGGGTAATTTCTTTCTTCAGGAAATTTAAAGAAGAAAGCTTATACTTCAATGAATTCATATTTTATATTTTTGTACTTATATTACAATATCTATTTCATTCTAGTAATACCATTAACTTTTATTATATAATTATAATGTACGACTATCTTTCTAATAGATTTAGTCTTCAGATTGCGTACAAAATATTTTTTCCACTTCTAAAAACATTTTAATATATAAAAATAATACATCGAATAGAATGAGAGTCAGGCGATTCAATTTTATTGTTTAGCCAGTTAAAGACAGGATCTATTTTGTTTTATCGCGCTCTTGTTTCTTAAATGTTTATTTTAATATTTTTTATTATTTTGAACTAATGTTTTAAAAAACCCAAGTTTACACGATATTCCTTTCACCTTTAGACCGCATGGATAAAGTGTGCATACCGTGTGCACACTGTATATGACGACGTATCGCGAGTGTAAAATACCGCGTACGCGTTGTAGGCTGTAGGTACCTCTGCCCCGGTGTGCATGAAGTATAAATAATTAGTATGATATATAAGCGTTCTGCGGCCGCGCGGGTACGCCGAGCGCGGTATATCGACATGACCCACGGCTTTATTTCGAGAGCGGCCACATTTTACCCGTTAAATTAGCACGGCTGCCCGCGATTTATGTCATCCGTTTTGAGAAAATCATTCGAGATAGATCATTTTGACGTCACGGTATTAAGCGACAAACAGAAACAAATGCGAGCGCACGACTTGATGAACCAGAGCGCATTACCGATAATCGACGCGCGTACATTTGATTTTATGAATTTAACATTAAGGAAACTGGCCGCCGCGGGACGCTGCGATATCGATTTATTGAAAGCGAATTGGTCGAGCACGTTCGCTGTAGAGTTTGAGACCATCTGCGAGAATAATGGGCGCGACGGACGTTGCGTGAGAGAAAAGCGAGATGCGTATGATGGTCCATTCTCCGCAACCCTAAAAGAAGACGGTGTCGTGTTTCTCCGTGCCGAAGACGATGCCCTAAAAGCGTTTCTCTGGACGATCCCTTAACGCAACTTGAGCCGGTAACGGCGCGCGGAATTTTCATTCGCGATAACGAGCGATTAAAAAAAGAGGGAGAGACAGACAGAGAGGGAGAGAGAGAGAAAAAAAACGGGTGATTGTTTTATTACACTGATATATGACGCTTCATCATTCGCTTGCGGTAAAATTGCGCTCCACTCACGAATCTTATGAAGAATAAATCTTGTTCATTTTGGAAGCTACATTCTTGACTGCGTATCTTGAATTATGTATAACCTTCCAACAATATGTTCGCTCAAGTATACATTCCTCGCCTTACTGTTGCCTTGCATTAGACTTACTCAGAGCATATAAAGATTGGTCGTTTGGCATAAGAGAAGAATGGAAATTTGGCAAGAAATGTGCCGACTTTTCGCAAAAATATCTATTTTGTATGTCATTTTACGACGAGTCTGTAGTTATCTTATCGCGAAAATTGCGATAGAGGATCGCGGAGATATTAAAAGTAAAAGGGATTTGACAAATAAAGCTTCTCGGGAAACATACAAATGGCTGGCTGGTTTCTCTCGATTAGTTCCAAGTAGACTTCAGTTTGATAAAAACTTAAGACTTTATGCCGCGACAATTTTTAACATCGGTAATTAAGGACATACGTATTAATTGAAAACCCTTATTCTTGTCGAGAAACGTAACGTATATATCCTTAAATTTCTCTATCTTCTCTCCATCCCGCACACAAATGTGTAATTTGCGTAATGAACCGCGATCGCAAGAAGTAGTTCTCGCGGTTTCCAGCGGTTTGCTAGCCAGTTCGCGCCGCGCTACTTGGGCAAACGGGACCAGCACGAAGGGAAGGAAAAACG